CTAAAAATCATCATTTTTCTGCTGCCAAATCTTTGAAACTTTATTTCATGTCATTAATATTTCTTAGTGAAATTTTTGACTGGCTTTATGCTGAAAGTAATGCTGTGGGAATCAGAATTTTGAATGTCCTGACTGGTGTTCAATTAAATATTAGTATATTTTCTTTTGTTCCTGTACCTGTTTCCATTAATTTTCTTGTTGAACTTATCTGGTAAGGGAAAGGACTCTAAAAGACAAAAGGGATTGTATGTTACTGCAAGTGATATCCAACAAGTCCAAACTTTCTTTGATTAAAGGGTGAAACTCCACTGAAGTCAATGGAGCTTTAAATTTTGGCACCACCAGAAAGTTTCTCCTGTGGAATGAAATTGCATTGTCACATTTTGAATGCTCTTCATTCTCATGACAGACATTACTAAAGGAGTCTCTTTTCAAGCACTTATACATTTATTATTTTCAAAACCCATTTCCTCAGAGAGGTCAAAAGCTCTTCTCACCACCACAGGGAGGCCATGGGAATTTCGGCATTCTGAAGTACCGTAGGTATCCACCTGCATATAAAATGTTAATACCTTTTTTTAGTTTTTCTTTTTAACCATGCTTTGTTTTTGTCATGAATCAAAAGTGGTAGAATCTAATTATTTTTTGATTGGAAGGGCAAACATTGCAGCAGGAAAAAATGTCACATTAAAATCGGATTATTTCCAACTAATACATTAAAGAAATTCCCCTTATCCCTGATTACTCTGTGTCACTAGTGTGATGCTATAGTACCATTTTTATACCATGTTTCTGGCAGTTTTCAGTATTATCTATGCAGAAAATAGATTGCAGATCTCTTCCAAAAGCCAAACATTTTTTCCTGCTTGGAAAAGTTGGAGTAAGTTGGATTAAAGTAAAGTTGGAGTTTTTCCTCCTCGCCATTATTGATATTTTTCCTTAACAACAGAAAACAATTAAATTGTTTAACATTACTTTTGTCCATTACTTTAGAGCCCTGAGATCCAAACAAGACCTCTCTGTACAAAGCATTGGGGAACTGCGCATCTGCAGATAACCCCTGCCTGAAGAGCTTTTGGACTATAGCCCCACTCCTGTAACCTGGAGCTACTTGGTTGTCCTGTGGACAGGTTACAGACCTGGGGCTTCACACATGGGGTGAAGAATGGGGGAAGGATGCTTGGTTGTCCTGCCTATATGAGCAGGGAGTCTTGGGAATTAAATCCCTTGTCCCAGATCACACAGGAAATCTGTGGCTGACCCTGAGGTGGAAGCCAGATATCCTGTGTGGTACCCTCATGCCCTGGCCCATCCATCCATCCTTGCTCCCCCATGTCATATTGGCCTCCAGCGCAGAAACTTCTAACCGAGGAATTTTCCATTGAGTTCTGCTGCTGATGAGTTTCTTTCTCACCAATAGGTGGAAATTGACAGCCCGGTTTCTCAGGTGACACAAGGAACGGTTCTGCCATCCCAAATGAGGCAGGAAAAACATCAAGCAGAACAAGGAATTTTCCATAAGAAACTGTACCATAGCAACTGAAAAAGACGTTGAAGCACATTATACTTTCTCAGCTTGTTGCAACCTGTGCTTTGATGCAACAGGACATCAGAAAAGTGAAGACTTGGGTTTTTTGTTTTTTCTTTTCCTCACTTATTTCTTTGACCAGGAGAGTGATTGCTTTAACTGGTGCTGCTTGATCATAATGAATTTATTGCAAAATTGTATAACCTTTCCACATCCATCTCCAAAGTCTGCCAGAGCCTATGTTCTGGCATGCATTGTCATGCTATAGCTGGGGAGGGTGAGGGGACTACATCTGCAAACTTCCATAAGAGATCACAAGCTTCTGAAATTGTAGGTTAACTAACTAAGTAGGATGCAGAAATATTTGCAACAGGCTGGCAGCTGTGCAATATGTGGCATTAAAATAAAGTTGAGTCACTAAGAAGTAGTGATATAGAAGCTAGCAAAAGTTTCTGTCTTTTTTTCTAAATATGTCCCAAATATGATTGTCTACTCTAACAGAAAGAAAATCACTATGCAGAGACAAGTGGCTTGAGTCATTGGTTTGGATATGGACAAAGTCTTGCTATATTAGGCACAGTATCTATTTAAAATGTTGCATAAAATCTTTAAGTGAAGTCTTTGCAGGGCAGATGTTTGTCTTGTTCTTGATCAGCTGTAAAAGGCTATTCAGAATGAAGAAATCTAAATTAACAGGATCTAAAATGTTTAAGTGAGAAAATGGGGAAATCTGATTAGCAGTACTAATCAACTGAGGTCTGGAGATTCCTCTTCTTTTCAACTGGAACAGTTTAGTCATCTTCCTTTTTTTTTTTTTTTCAGAGTTCATGCTGTACCCTGCCCATATTTTATTTCTTCACTGTGTTCCTTCTCAGTAAACTCCACAATGTGGATCATCCTCTCTGCATATATATATCTGCAGATATGAGTTACTAGATGGAGAGTTGCAGCATGTAGCAAGCACTTTTTCTGTGTATGTGCTGTCTTTTTGTTCAAACTCACAACCTGTCCAATATCTGAGGTATTTCTGAGGCAAGATGTCCCTTTTTTCTGTGAGACTTCTTGTTTCAGATTCTCCTCAGTGTCAGTGACAAGTCTGTCACTGCTTTGGGAAAGTTATATCAGAATCCTGCAGAGCTGGACTTGAACTAAAAGCAGTGTACTGGAGCAGGAGCTGTCACAGCTGACTGTGACTGTCTTTAACTAGGGCTTCCAGCAAGGTCTACATGTGAAAGCAGAGTACTTTTTGTACATTAGCAGGGATAATGCAGGTTTTCAAACCACTTGCTCCTAGCTACTGTCCTAGCTTTCAACTTGGTTAATTATGGGCAAAAAACCTTTTAAAATAGTATCAAGAAGAAATTTTTCTTGATGATGTTTCTCAGATGCTTAGCTAGAATAGCCCTCACTAGGATGCAATTTTCCATTTTCTTTAGTTTCCACAACAACTGGCATTTCAAATGCCTACTTGCCACATTTTGAAGGCAAGTGATTCCAGTAACTCCTGTTCAGAAATCTTTTTTTGTTTACATCTATGAAGGTGTGGAAAGGGAGCTACTGCAAGTAGTTTTGAAGTGTTCGTTGTGGTATGTTAATCCCTGAGGGCCTGTTTATTTTTGTGCAGGATAGTACATAAAATACTGTAAACTAGCAACATACAGACTGGAATAACCAAAGAATAAGGGCACTTAGCTAGCAGCAGATCTCATGTTTTCTTTTGTTCATGGCAAGTCTTTTTTCTGTGTATGTCTGTGTTTTAAATTAGGGCATTCTGTGGGTTTCTTAACTGTTTTCTTAGCAGCTTCTCTTTGTGACTGTTAATCTAGAAGAACTCCACTCACTTTCCCAGCTCACATTTTGTGAGTGAGCATTACTTTCATGACATACAAGACAACACTATATTCTTTTTTGAGTGTGTTATAATACACTTTAAGGAGGCCAGAATCTGTAAAATTACAAGGAAATATTTATTGAAGCCAAATACATATCTGAGGAGTTTCCACTTGAGCATTTGAAATTAAGAAAGTGATGGCAGCAAGGAGTTTGTGCCATTGTTTTCAAAATATACCAAATAAGAACCTTGGCGAATATGTCACTCTACACTTTATAGCTTTGTGACACTGTTCAAACAGAAAGTAATTAATATTTAAAAAAATCCCCACCACATGAAACATCTAGATATGCATTTCTAGCCTTATTTTCTAGGTAGAGGAATCAAGCAGAAAGGGATTCACTTACCAGAAGCTCATAAGAATTGTTTGCCAAAGCGCTGATGACAAATACCTTTTCATCTATGTGTGCGTGTCTAGGTTTCAGAAGCAAACAATGTTGCCTCTATGTAGTTTCTCTGTAAGGAAAAATGCAAATATCAATAGTGGTTATTTTTGCAGTTAGAGCCTGTTATATTCTTGGAACATGTGGCTGAATTACAGTTCTCTTACTGAAGAAAATGTTACAAGGGAAGAATAAATGTGACAAGCAATGGTGAAAACAACACACTAAGCTATAAGTTAGTTGACAGTTGTGCGTGGGAAAACACTGGAAAGACTACCCAACAAGTATTGACATTGTTTCTAAACAATTGTTAGTTTCTGACCCTTTCTCTTCTATTTAAAATTCTGACCAGAAGGACAGGCTAGAAATAGAGTCCTGGGGGCCATTTTGTGGGCCATTTTGTGGATGTTGGACTGCCAAAAGGCAAATTATCCCTCCAGCTTCGCAACAGACTTCAGACAGGTCTCTCCTAAAAGCAGGTCTGTGCTTGCCCTCCTGCTGGTGGTGGTCTTGCAGGGGGCAGTAATTAATAAACACTGCTTGTAAGGTGATCTGTTAATGTACCATGGTAACGTCTTGTCTGTAGGGTTAATAATAATGCTTTGTGTGTCTCTGTGTTTTAGCTAAGTGCAGACCGGGTGTGTACCAAAGGACAACACCCATTTCCTTAGCTGCAATTGTCAATTCCAGCAACTTGAGGCAAAAATCTAGCTGTTCCATTAGTAACAATAAAAATTATGGCAATTTTTAATATTTCCGTTACTGATAAGCACACCAGGAAGTCTGCCATTCAGTTCAACAAATGTAGCAGCTGTTTGTGTTGGTTACTCCTGCTTAAAATGTTTCCCAAGTACATGACTATGTAGGCAGTTGGTATTTATTGCTCTGGGAGAGAACTTGAACTTCAGAAGGAAGGAGAGAAAAACCTTACATTTTGCCTATCTTAGTTCTGTGGAGACTGCAGTTGCTGTAAATATCATGGTGTACAGTAGTTGGAACAAAACAGTTTTGGTTTTTAAGAGCAATAGTCATAGAGATGCTAGTTGAGAAAAGAACTTTTCTGCTCCATGCGTTTTTGGTGTCTTGCAGAGACTGCCAGAATTACATTTGCATTAATTTCAGTCTACAACAAGTACTGAAGAGGATTCAACTGAAAGTACTTCCCAAATATGAGGAGCACAGGGGAGAAAGAGAACTATGTTTTATGGTGACAGTTATTAAGCTTTTACAGAATATCCTATATATGTACTAGCTATCAACGTAAAATTAACTGGTACTAATTGGTCAGAGCTGCCAACTCAGACTGCTTGTGAGTGTAATACTCTTCTTTAGGTCACATTCATTATACTGACATCGTATGTCAGATTCTGAATAAAGTTCATTCAGCCATTTCTGCTGTTCTTGTTTACCCTGGTATGTATATGTGCTGCCATCAGCAAGAGTTCATGTCTCAGCAAAGACTGGGTCTGTGTGCTTTGAGAAATATGTGTCTCAGTTATCTGCCCAGTGGCCACTTCTCCAGCAACAGCGGGACTGTGGGAGGGCATCCTTTGATTGAATCATGCCTGGTGTTTTCTTCATTCTTGGAAACTGACTGGAACAAAATGTTCAAAGCTCTTTCTTCCTCTCTTTCCTCTTTTTTTTTTCCCTCTCTCTTTTTGTTTTTCAGTTCCATGCCTCAAAAGGCTGTAACTGGGTTCATTATTGTGTGATAAATCAGCAGTAAACTTCTATGCATTTTGCTTCATTTGGGCAGCTCCTGTTCCTTAGTGACAGCTGCTTGGCTCAGCAGACTGTAATTATCAAGTCAAAACCAAGATGCTTTTAGGTAGTGAAAACATATTGGCAGAGACTGAACTTGTCCTAAACTTCCTCATGGGTCACAGCTTTAAAAGATACCCTTTGTTGTTGTTTTGTCACTGTTGGTACAGGGGGTTTGACACCACACTGGACCATGTGGGAAGCTGTTGTTATCCTAAAGGAGTACAGGTCTTTCTTTTTCATTAGATGCCAACATACTGTGTAGTTAACTTTTGATTAATGTATCTGTGTTCATTCTTTTTCTCTAAAATAAAGTTTTATTGATATGTGGGAGGGGATTTATTGGGAATTTACAAAGTCTTTATTTAAACAAGTATCTGAAGGAAGATTTGCCCAGAAACAGGTGTATGGGTTTGTTGCCCATGGTGGAACCAAGGCACTCTCTGATGCTACTTTAAACATACCTCCGTTTGACAGACCGGCTACATCTGTGACTGATGCCTCACTACCCATGGCCATGGAGACATACACGGCATGGCATTGGCTCTGGTCTGCTAAAGGCCAAGAGACCCTGGGCTTGCATGTTGTGCAGACCAGTTGCAAGGGGCTATACATAGTGGAGACTTCTACTCCCTCGCCAAACTTGCTTTAGCAAAGAAGACATATTCCTCTTCATTTGTCTGAAATGTAGAGAAACATAATTTCAGCTGACAGATAACACAATCCAGAGCTCAAGTGAGTGGAAGGAGATTTCTCATATTCTTTGCTATATGTGTTAGCTTTCCTGTTATGTGAAAATAACATGCAAATCCAAGAGAGGAGAAGAGAAAATACATTACTTTCTTTTGCAAGAGAAATTACCTGTAAAGTCCTCCTGTTCCCATTGACAAGTCACAGGTTTTCTTTTCTCTGTATATTATTAGGCAGGCTGGGTTTTCTATCAGGACAATTAGAATAGGCACTCATCTTGCTGCTGTTTAAAAAGTATTTAAAGTGTTCTCAAATCTGGCTGGGCTGTAGTTTAGTGTAATTTAGAGAGCAGTTCCAAGTAGGAGCACCATTGTTTGCATAACCAAATCTCAATGCAAGGAGCATGGCACAGTCTCATTTGCATCCTTCCCTGGGATTTGGGGGGGGCTGTCAGACCTTTAAAAATGATGAGAAGTCACCCAGACTGTAAAAACCTCATGACCTTTGCACATGGAATAATATGTGTTGTATAAACATACACTTTATGGTATTAGTACTTTGGAGGACAGAAGAACCAGGATACCAGAGGAGGTAATGTGTGGTCTGTCGTAAGCAGATTTTTTCAAGCTTGAAAAGTTAAGCATGTGTTATGTTAATGTGGAAACAGAGAAAGATTTTTTTTCCCAATGCATTTGCAACAAGACAAAAGAAAAGCCATCTTTACTTTGCAATTTTTGAGGATCCTAAAAAAGCATGTTCCGTCTTGCAAACACTTCATGACTTCATTTGGTTGACCTATAAGTAAGAACTTGCAGGTCTTCTATTTGAAGCTAGTATAATGTAATAATCTTTTGAGTGTGTTGTGGCTACTGTAGAGGTATCTGTCACAGCCCAGGGATAAAGTTGAATTTTCTGGGTATGGCTTGCACTCATATGCTGGCAATTACATCATAACATTGGAATTCTGAAACAGTAGCAGAGGCCAAGGGGGAAATGCCCAATAGGGGCATAAGGCTCTGTATATGGCATGCCCTGGCAGAAGGGTGTGCTAGCCTGTCAGTGGAACAAAAGCAGAACAAGTGCCTCACCACGGAAGAAGGCTGAAATGCTGAAGGAGAGCAAGTCTGTAAAAGGGAGTAGCCGCTTTTTCAAGTTCGTTCATCTTTTATAATGTTTTAGTCATCTCTCCTGTCACATGGGGCTGTGGGACAGTATAATTGTTAGTGCTAACCCCTTCTGTGTTCCCAGAAGACAGAGGGCAAACTGAGGTTCTTTCCTCGTCAGTGCATAAGAAGACTTGAGACTTGTTTTCTCTTTTGTCTGGTGATTTTGTTTTTCAGTGAATAATGTGGGAATCCAATCAAAGGGTGAGGAAAGTTTTATATTTTGTTTGTTTGCAATGTCCAATGCCTTTATGTGTCATTTTTGGGTCCTCCTCAGAGATAGACAAACCCAAAACTTTTCTCTGTGTTTAAAGGCCACTTATGGCAAAACTGAGGAAAGGAGGTGGTACACACAGAATCATAAGAGCAAATAACCATGTAGCAGCAAAGCCTTAACTGTATGCAGTTAAGGAAGCGGGCAGAGACTTAACCTTCTGTTTAGGAGTTTACTTCAGTTGTCCCAAAGAGAGAAAACTATAAGATAAAAAATACATAAGATTCAGCTTTTCTCACAGAAAGCCACACAGTGTACTGCAGCCTGATAGAACTGTAGAAGGAAAAAAAATATTAGGAAAAGGGTAAATAATATGCTCAGAAGTGATCTATAAAAGACTGAGTTCTGTCATGTTCTTGTGATATTTTCTCTAATGTTCCCTTTTCTTTCTATGCATAATTAGCTGCAACAGGGCGGACCTAGCCATCTAGCATGGCTGATCAGATGCTATGCTATCTTTCAGTAAAATAGTTCATCAAAAGGTAAAGACTGGATATGTGATTAAGTTTTATATAAGGGGATAGAATTTGGGACTGTTAGCCAAGAGTATGGTTTATTCCTTCACAGGCTTGAAAGCTCCATTTACTTTTCATATTTCTTTTTGAAAGGCCACCAGTAAAACGCTTCCTCATGTTGAGGTACAACATTATTTCCTTTTCCTTTTAAAATAAGAAGAAAAAAAGCAAAGCAGAGAAAAATACATCAAAACCAGAGCAATCTCCTTTGAATTTCACCTTTATACCCACTCCCACCAGGCTTGAATATGACTCAGTCTCTGAATGTAAGTTTCTTTCAGGTCCTGCTTCTCAGACTGGTGTCCTGAGATGCTTGTACTGGGCTGTGTGTATTTCTGAAAACAGAGATAGAAAAGAGTTAATATTTTTAGTATTTTTATTAGCCCTTCCCCCTCTGCAAGTGTCTATTATATGAGACACACTACATGGTACTCCCCCATCCTTTGCTGAGTACTTCTGTTTCTATAGCAAAGACCTCTAAAGGTTAGTATCATGCAGTTCATCATCTGAATTAAGAGAAGGGTGTTGGTGGTGAGATCATAGTCTCCATGGAAGATGGACCAGATTTGCCGCTGTAAAATAATACCAGCAGAGGTTTTATACAATAGCCTTTAAGTTGTACAATCATTAATTGCTTGGAAGAAGTGCATTGACATTGGCATTTACAAATTAAGTGCATACATATCTGCAAAGGCAGTGTTTTGCCAAAATTCAAATACAGTTTTCTGCTTAAAGCAGATTTAATATACTGTGCTGAAAAGCTTTTAGGAGGCTGGAAGCAGCATAGAAAGAGAAATGCAGGGTGATTAATACCTGCTACTTATTCTGAAAATAGAGGGCCAAATCTAGCTTTCAGATATTCTGATATATTCCAATTGTTTTAACATGTAAAAGATCATTTTTAGGTTACTAAGGCTTGAAGGCCTTGTGTACCTTAGTTTTAGTATGCAAGAGCAAACTTATGTATGGGTAAACTGTCAATTAATTATTATTTTTTTTTCCCGAAGGGTGAATTTAGCTCATAAGGCTCATACATTTAAAACAATGATAGCGTTGTTATTGTAATTTATTCTTAAGTAATGTTTATTTGTGTGTAAGGGTCTAACCAAGTATGGCCTTATGTCAAGCTGAGAGAACGTTGGCCAAATAAACGAAATCAATTACAGTAAAAAAAGAGTAAAATCAAAGGCCTCACCAGAAATCAATTATTAACCCCAAAAGATAGCAAACACTTGAGTTTCAGCCAAGTGAGAAGTGCCATGCAAGCTATAGTAAAATGAGTTTACAACAGGTAAGAGCTATGGTGCTCCTGCTGCTGTGGGCAGTTGGGAGAGGGATGGGCGTCTTTCAAGGACCTGCAACACTGTGTTACATAAGGAAGCCTAATTCTAACCCAGAAAGATAGAAATTCTGGGGTTTAAAGTATAGATCCTATGAGGATTTAAGTTGTAAAAGAAGCAACTGAAAGGTTAAGCTGCAGCAATCACAGATTTATTTGATTTTTCATCAGATGTATCTCCTGGCAAGTAAGAAGTAAGTGCCTGGGAATTATGCCATTCCTGTGATAATCAGTGGTTTGCCTTGCATAAATGCCTTCAGTTCTTCCTGGAAGATCACTTCCTATTCAATTTGACCATTAAATATCTCCTTAAGGTCCACTTAGGCTCTGATGCCTATGAAAAACCTGACAAATCAGTGATGGCCACTCAAAGGATAACTGTTTTACAACTGCTGAATTAAACTGGGGGTTTTTTTCAAAGAAGCAAAAATCAAAATGCTTCAGAAACTGTATTTGCACAGGTAATGTGGCAAGGCCCAAGTGCCTTTCTGGCCTCATTCTGGATCCTCCATACTCAGTTTTCTATAGCCTGTACCAGGACCTTTCATTTAGAGTAGAGTACCTGGGGAGCACGTGTAAACATGCTGTTTATTTGTTTGTACCTACAACATCTGGGCACCAGTCTTGCATGAGCATTTGTTGCTGCTATATGGTAAAAATTAAACAACAATAGCACTACACAAAAATATATATAGAATAATAAGTAATGAATGTTGTATGTGATAAATACTTCAAATAATCAGAAATATGCAACTGAGCTGGCCTACTTCTGGACCCAGGCAAGGCTGACAAGTTAAAAGGTTATAAAAGGTTACCAAAAAAAAAAAGGCGTTGTTATTGGCTTTTATTGCCATGTTAGAGAGTAGATACTTCAATGTGCCAAAATTTCTATTCTGGCAATAGCTTGTAGAAACTGTAGAGGTGCTGCTGGTGCATAACCAGATGACCATCAGTCTAGACTTGCTCTCTGCTCTTCACAGTGATTTTGTATCCTTCTGCTATGGTATTCCATCAGAAATTCCACCCCACCTTTTATGTGGATGAGAAATGCTGTACAAATTTGGAATACTATCTAAACAATCACTTGGCTATTTACACCTGTTTTTTCTAGCAAGATCTTAGAAATATTTGAGTCTTCACAATTGCAATAGAAATAGTGGGAAAAGAAATTAAGAAACCTGTAAAATGTCTTTCTATGGCACCTCATGTCACATCACAAGCTGAGTCTTTTCTATGACTGCTTTTTTCTTATGCAACTGTGAGTATGTTTATAATATTACCCTGCCTGTTTGCTTGGCATCTTGAGGGTCTTCATTCTCTTCTCAGAGTCCTGGCACAACAAATTTCATCAGGACTGTTCCACATGTATACTGCTAGCAAAATTTTGAACAGTATTCTCAAAAGCAGACTCAGGAGATGATTTAAGTGGGCATGCAACACAATGGGATTTTCTGGTGTTGGTAGTTCAATGAGCGATGATGGTGTGGAGCCTGTCTGCTGTGGCTCTTAGCATCCGTCAAGCAGTGAGACTGTGTTTCAACCTCCCCCTAAATCTTCTCTGCTATTCTCATGAGGCACGTGGGAACACATTTGAGACTTACAGCACTTATGGTATTGTAATTGGGTGAGGTGTTCTAGATGAGACACTGTCATGCATACCACATAACTGTGTAATTTTTGTGCTCTTTAGGAAACCCAGCCTTAAAAGGACTTGCATAATATATGGATGTGCAGAGATACAGGGAGCTGATTTTGTGGTTTTATCACAACCCTTTCGAGAGTGATTAAAGAATGTGCCTTCCAGTTAGGAAAAACAACTGGAAACAACTTATTTTAAAAGGTTGTTGAAAATATTCCAGAGAAAAGTCATGAAAACAACTGGAGAGGATGTTTTCTTGGGAGGATGGACTTCTGTCTCTTTGCCCCTCCAAGAAGAGTAAGAAGAGTGTTGATTATGTGTGTTTAATACCAGATCTTAAAAGGCTGCTGAACTATCAGAGAAGGTCTCCTGGAGCCCAAGGGAGGTGCAAGCCAGACAAGTTAATGATTAAGAGACAAAGGCATGCTTTTTTATTAGGAATGAAAATGATTACACATTAAAACAAGTGGATAGTTCAGACTTTCAAATCAAGACTGGCGCAGTCACTTTCTGGAGGCAGTCTTCTGCTAAGCACAAGTCATTTAGCTCAGTACTATGCTCTGTGCAGTGTAGAAGGTCAGCTTAGGTAGCGTAATGGTCACATATGGGGGTAAAAAGACCTATTGTTTGTGACCAAGGGGAAACACTTTTACTCTGTCACGCTGAATTTTTTAATTATGGGCAGAAAGGTTTTAATAATTCATATGCTAAGTATCCTGCTGTCCATGGTTGGATTCAGTCAATCCAACTCAGTGATTTCAATGTGGTGAGGTGATCCTGAGTTGCCTGTTCTGCTGGGACCCATTCCAGAATGTGGTGTAACCCTCTCTGTTCAGCCTCGTCATCAAAGATAGGTTACCTGGGGAGTGCAGTCTTGTGCCTGCAGACATGTTTTGCAGGATAGGGCTGATGCATCATCTCCAGTGTGACATGATGTTTGCTAGTGAGTGAAATACCTAGAAGTCCAACTGTGTTGGTGGGATGTCTCTGTGACCTTGAAATGAGAAGAGAGACTTTTTCTGCAGTATGCTCCCTATTGCCTTTTGATTCCCTGCAGTCATCCATGGGAGCTGCCTGCTTCTAAAGGTACGGCTGTGTGGTTATTATTTAACACCACAGCCTCTTCTCAGCATTTACCCTTCTTTAATTTGTTGTCTTGCTTCATATTCTATATTTCATTTCTCTCTGAAGTGTTTCAACTCAGCTTTTAGCTTAATGGAACATATTTTTTGCAGTAATCAGTCAAGATTTTAAACCAGAGATGATATACTCTTAAAAGTACAAATAGCAGGTCAAGTGCAATTTCCATTTAGAATCAAAAGGAGGAAAATATATAGCTGCCATTTGAATGTTTGTCTGTGTTTGCCTATGAGACAACGTTGTGAGATGACTTCTTTGTTTATTCCACCTCTTTGGCCAAATTCTGCTTTGTTTCTTCAGTGTAAATCCAGGATAATCTCTTGAATGTCAGTAGAGAGAATTTGCTTTATCCTGACACTAGCTGAGATCAGATTTTGACCTGAATTTTCCAGTGCATCTGCTGCTGCAATATCCTCCTACTGAAGATGGTGTCATTATAGCTGGGGCCCTGAGTTTGCTAAATGGATCTTTTCCTTAGCTCATATAACCATCACATCTTGTGTGTTTGATTTACTTACATTGTTCTTACATTTAATCTCTGCCCATTTAGTCATATTTACTGTCATTTTTTATTTGTTTAGTTACACAGTGCAGCTCAAAAAGGTTACAGGGGTGGATAGAGCATAACAAGTTAAAATGCATTCTGTGCAGACCTCTTCTGCACCTTTCTGTGTCTCAGTTTTGACAGTTTGGTTTACAGGAGGGATTGTTCAGTCAAATGCTTGGCTTATATAGAAGTATTTAACAGCAGCTGTAAGTGTACAGCAGAAAAGTATTTGATATGGTTTTTATTTGTTTTTTACCCTATTGTCCTTCAGGAGCTTTACAAAACCTCCCTTTGTACTGCTAGGGCCAACATTTGGATAGGATGGGCTCAAAATGGAGAGGACCCACACAAAATTCAGACTCAGTTCATCACTGAGTCTTTGACAGCTGTGGAGAGAACGAAGTGAAAAACTGCCATTACTGGAATTTTCCTACTGATGCCAGTAGGACAGGTTCTCAGCCTCATTCCCTGTCTCTAGCATTTGTGTACTTTTTAAGACGGTAATACTGGTAACATGGAACTGAACTTTTCTTTCTGGGAAAGGAAGAGAGGCATTCTTCTGGCACTACTGGTAAAGCAGAGGGTAAGAGAATTCCCCAAGAGACGGGGTTGGATGACAAGTTTTTCAGGGGATAGGAACTAGCCCTCGTTTAATAGCAATTATTTTTAA